TAGTTCGTTTTTCTTGTCCATATGGCATGCTCGCCTGTCAGGAACAACCCCTATCTTGTAGTAATCCCAACTTTCCGCTTCTGATATATTAAAAACAGTGTTCATTTGTCACGACTATTTGCCCTTCTTTAGTCTTAACGGCCAAAGCAGGCCTTTTTACCCTCGTAACCAACTTTTCATATGAAGCGGCCGACTGAAAACACCGCCGCCCGTCCCTTGTACTGCCATCTGTTTTAGTTCCTTTTGTTCTTCTTACACCCATAGGAAAACTGGCCGTGCTTGGTGAACGTTCTCGCCAGCTGGAATCGGAAGCTGCCCGTCTGCGTCAAAACGCCGAGCTGGTAGGTTTCTGCCTCTGACTGAACTTTGCTCCTGCGGTGTTTTATTTTGCTTCTCCTCCACCCCCAGTGTGCTCTGTGTCTGTGGACCCTGAACTAGACCTTTAAGGGGTTTCAGACACGTTTTTCACTCTACCATATTTTTATACAAACTTTTTCCCTCTCCGGCGCCTGTTTGAGAGGTCATTTCAGCAAAAATTTGTTCTTTCCCACTCTACTCACAGTTAAGCTATTGGGTATGGTGTCTTTTAGCAACCCTACCAACACAACTCTCTTATATGAATGAAGAGGGGGTAGTTTGGGTGGTGTATGAGGACTGCCCCATTCGATTGGTTGATTATACCTGTAAGGAACTACGCCGAGAAGAGCTGTAGACAAAAGTAGGAACGCTGTGATTACCGTTTCCAACTTATTAATCATCCTAAGGTTTGATTGGCCTAACTAATATCCTAAGGCGTATTTCATCGGATATCGCAATTTGTGGGTAGACTTTGGTTTTCTCGTATTAAGTCTAAAAATACTGGTTTGTGTTTGTGGAGTCCCACTGAGCATACCAAATGAAATCATAATCTAATTATACCGCTAGATGTAATTGCAGTGTAGTGTAATTGCGCTGTCTTGCGCAATTTTCGCGTGTTATGTGACCTCTTTCAACTTGGGCCTTCATTCTTCGTTCAACACCATAGATTCATGTATTTTGACTTGCTAGCAATCCGTATTCCTCTTTGGAAGAGGTGCTTCGCAAGA